ATGAATTAGCCATAGTAAACATGGGGTTACGGGGATAGGCTGGGGTGACACGGTCTGGGTGAGATGTTTTTCGGAGGGCTGGTGCAAACTCGATGGGCTGAATGGCCTCTGTTTACACTGTAGGGATACATTGATTCTATTCCCCTTTCTCCCAAGCTATATGTTTCTCTGCTTGAACTCTACAAAAGCAAAATACATTGGTTGCAAGAAATATGAAATCATACAAAATATTGTATTTTGTACTTAGCAGACTAAGCAGCATCCGTGAAAGAAAAATGAAGTTAATGTTTCAGACAGCCTTACATCAGTGTGGAGAGAATTCTGAGGGACAGGATTTACATACATTTGGCAAGGCAAGGACTTATTAGGGATAGTCAGCATGGCTTTGTGCATGGGAAATTGTGTCTCACAAATATGATTAAGTTTTTTGAAGAGGTGACAAAGAAAATTGATCAAGGCAGAGCAGTAGACCTTGTTTATATGGACTTCAATAAAGTATACGACAAGGTTCCGCATGATATACTGGTTAGTAAGGTTAAGTCACATGGGATCCAGGGAGAGCTAGCCAATTGCATACAAAATTTGCTTGAAGGTAGGATGCAGAGGGTGGTGGTAGAGGGTTGATTTTCAGATTAGAGGCCTGTGACCAGCGGTGTGCCACAAGGCACAGTGCTGAATCTATTGCTTTTTGTAATTTATGTAAAAAATTTGGATGTGAATATAGAAGGTATGGTTAGTGAGTTTGCAGATGACACAAAAATTTGTGATATACAGGACAGTGAAGATGATTATCTCAGAATTCAACAGGGCCTTGATCAGATGGGAAAATGGACCAAGGAGTGGCAGATGGAGTTTAATTTAGATAAATGTTGCATTTAGGTTAGGCAATCCCAGGGGAGGACCTGGAGAGTTAATGATAGGGCCCTGGGCAGTGTTGCTGAACAAAGAGACCTAGGAGTACAGGTACATAGTTCCTTGAAAGCGGAGTTGCAGGTAGACGGGGTGCTGAAGAAGGCGTTTGGCATACTTGCCTTCATTGGTCAGAATATTGAGTGTAAGAGTTGGGAGGTCATGTTGTGGCTGTATAGGACATTGGTGAGGTCACTTTTAGAATACTGCGTACAGTTGCCCTTTTATAGGAATGATGTTGTTTAACTTGAGAGGGCGCAGAAAAAATTTACAAGGATGTCGTCGGGACTGGGGGTTTTGAGTTGTAGAGAGATGCTGGAGAGGCTGAATAGGGTGAGGTTTTTTTCCCTGGAGTGTCAGAGGCTGAGGGGTGACCTTATGGAGATTTATAAAATCAAGAGGGGCATGGATAGGGTGAATAGCTAAGGTCTTTTTCCTGGAGTGGGGGAGTCCAAAACTAGAGAGCATAGGTTTAAGGTGAGAGGGGAAAGATTTAAAAGGACCTGGGGGGCAATGATTTTCATGCAGTGGGTGGTGAGTGTACGTAACAAGCTGCCAGAAGAAGTGGTCGAGGTGGGTACAATTACAATGTTTAAAAGGCATCTGGATAAGTATATGAATAGGAAGGGTTTAGAGGGATATGGGCTAAATGCTGGCAAATGGGATTAGGTCAGATTGGGATGTCTGTTTGGCACAGAGGAGTTGGACCGAAGGATCTGTTTCCATGCTGTATGACTTTATGACTCTGACCAGTGACCTTCCATTGGAACCGGAAACGTTTATAGATACAACTGGTTTTGACCAAGATAAAAACCGAACGAACTGCGGACGCTGTCAATCAAGAACAAAAACAAAGTTGCTGGAAAAGCTCAGCAGGTCTGGCAGCATCTGTGAAGGAAAAAATATTTCGGGTCCAGTGACCCTTCCTCAGAACTGATGTTGGCTGGGAAAACCTATCATTTACTCCCTACCCCACTCACCTCCCTGTTTTCTGCATATTAGCTGAAGTTTTCCCAGCCAGCATCAGTTCTGAGGAAGGGTCGCCAGACCCAAAACGTTAACTCTGTTTTTTCCTTCACAGATGCTGCCAGATCTGCTGAGAGCTTTTCCAGCATCTTTGTTTTTGTTCCTGGTTTTAACCAAGAGCAGAATCGGGGAAATGGCGTGAGAGGAAAGGCAGAAATAAAAGGGAGGAAAGACTTTCATTTCTGTAGTGTCTTTCATAACCTCAAAGTGCCCCAAACATTTTACTTTTTAAGTGTAGCCACTAACTGCCAATTTATAGGCAGCAAGCTCCCATAGCAGCACTGTAATGCTGATTTGAGGGATAAATATTTGCCACGATGTTGAGAATAACTCCCTTGCTATTCTGCAGAATAATATAATCAAAATTTTTATATCCACCTGAGAGGACACGCGACCTTACTTTAAACATCTCATTCGAAAAATAGCACCTTCAGCAGTGCAGTCTCCTTCAAAACACAGGAATATCAGTCTAAGGCTTTGTGCTGAGACAATGGAGTGGGGCTTGAACCCACAACTTTCTAATTTAGGGATGTGCTGTCAATTGGGCCGCATTTGAAACTTGAGGAATAAGGATGTGTGTAGCAGTGTGTACCATATATGTGCTGTAGCAACTTATCAACCTTCCTCGACAGCATCTTCCAAACCTGTGCTGCTTTACCACCCAGAAGAACAAGGAGAACAAAAGCGTGAGAACACCTGTAGCCCTCCAGTCCAACCATTATCCTATCTTGCAACTGTATCAACAGTCCTTCACTGTCACTGGGTCAAAATCATGGAGCTTCCTTTCTAACAGAACTGAGAGTGCACCTGCATCTTAGGAACTTAATAAGTTAAGAATGTAGTTCACTACCACTTTCTCAAGGCAGTTTGGATGGGTAATAATTGCTGGTCTTTCCAGTGGTACTCAACATTCTAAAAACAAATTTAACAAGTAGATGTGATGATTTTATTTTGCTGTCAAGAAGTTGTTTGACATGATGCCATTATAGTGCTACCCTCTGATAGCTCGCTCAGTGGGTAATCTTCACGTGCTGCTTACCTTTAATACTTTATTTTTCCATTTAATACTAGGACGGACTGTAATGTTAACTTTATTTCTTTATTTTTCTACTTGTACTAAGACCAATGATAATGCTTTACTTTTAACTTTGTCTTTCAATTACTACTTGTACCTAGATTTTGTACCTAGGTACCTTTGTACCTAAGATGGTGTGTGGCGGCATTGTACATTTTTAGCTTCTTTTGTATCCCTATACTTGAGTAGACATGACAGTAAAGCTTAAATTGAAGTCAGCTAATGGCACACCAACTAAGTATTGATGGACAGTAACTGGATTGGGCTGAATTTTCACCCTTTTAGCCTTGCCCGTTAAGCTTGTGTGCTTTGACTGTTACTGCTGGAATAACCTAACTCTATACAGTGTCAGGATAGAATCTAGATCATAGTATCAGATAGAGCACTGTACTTACTTGCTGACTAATGGGGCAGTCTGACTAGATAAAATTGTTCCAAAAATTTACTTTAGTGGTTGAATTCTAATACTGGTGCCCATTCATCAACCAAACCATATTGAATCTGGAAGAAATGGCATCTGTATGTTTTACTGATGACGTCAGGTGCAAATAATGTGATATATTCACATTGATAATGCAGTTACAAAGCAGTTTTAAAACAAGGATCTTTATAAAAGAATAAGATTTACGTATAAAGCACATAGCCTATTTGTCATTGTTAGAGTGTTAGGTGCATGTTGTGATCTTGTTTTTGTTGTGTATTCACAAGCTTTCAGGTTGTGAAACTCGGTCAGAAAAGCTACTGAGGCCATTAAAATACAAATTTCTGCAAAGTGCTCTCTCCTCCTGGATGGCAGTTAATTTGCTTCAAGGTTACTGTCAGCCACTTTGGATTTGAGAAAATCTTTGAAGAACTGGTGATTTGTGCCTGACTTTTAAAGATACTACTACTCCACAGTGCTTTGGAATGCTAGAATATTTTTATGTTCATCCCTAGAATTGTAACCTTCCATTTCTGGTGTATCTCGCTGCACTTATTACCGTAATGTTTATAATGTGATGGAACAAAAAAGTGAAGGAGCATTGGAGGAATTACTGGAATCCCTTTCAAAATCTTGCGAGTTGTGGCATGGAAGTAAATCTTTATTCTAACCAAACCGAGATGAGAGTACTGATTTTTAAAATTATATTTTAACATAATATTGGCATGATTCCAGTAGAAAAACTGCAGTTTCTAAAGTGCATTGTAATGTTTTGAACAAATTTTATTTAAGCCATGTGCACTGCTAAAGTATAGACTGCAAATTTAATATTTATATGGACTTCAGCGATCACTTAAGCAATATTGCCTGAAGATGTTTTTATCAAACCACTTTATAATATTTAAATATTCAGTATTAGAGGGACTCTGCCAAACGTTTTCCCTTTTTAATATTTCACTATTTGCTTGTGTACAAACTAAAGGCTGGTGGACAGGTACAAAACCAATTTTTTAAAGGTCTAATATTGGCTTTTATTTCAAAGAGGCTGTAATAAAAAGTGGTGGAAGTTCCTTTACATTTATGTAAAGCCATGGCTAGACCTCAGATCCAGGATTTAGTGATAATAAGGGAAAATCAGGATGCATTGTGGCTTGGAAGGAGGTTTGGGTGTGGTGCTGTTTCTGTGCACCTGTATCCTTTGTCCTTCTAGGTGGTAGAGATTGTGATTTTCAAAGGTAGATTACGCATGCTGCCATGTTGTGCCAGTAGCGGAGGGAATATGTATTGGAAGAATTACAAATAGTTTTATACTCTAGCACATATGCAAATGTTGGCAAGTTGCCTGTGAATATACAATTTAAAAATATGTGCAAACCATCATTCTGCTATTAAGATTTTCTATCCATTCTTCTCATATCTTGAAGGAACTGACTTAATTGTTGATTATTCCATTTGTGTAGGCAATGAATAATACCTGTTTTGATAGTGCGTGTATATCACAGCCATAATTGATCTTGTTGTCCCCTGAGATCCAGTTCTTTTTTTAACTGCTTTCACAGGAGCTGGGCCAGCACTTGTTGCCCATCCCTAGTTGCTCTTGAGAAACTGTCGATGAGCTGCCTTCTTGAACTGCTGCAGTCCATTTGGAGTATAGGTAGACGCTCAATGGTATTAGGGCAGACGTTCCACGATTTTGACCCAGCGACGGTGAAGGAACGGCGATTATAGTTCCAAGTCTATATGGTGAGCCATGAGCATTGTGTAACAATCAGCTCTGATTTATTTTTCTGTAAAACGGAACTGTTGAGGTTATTGTGGTTTTTAATTATAACCCAAGAAGCAACAGAAAATGAACTTGACAAATGAGTCCTGTATAAGCCAAACTGTATGATGATCAGGTTTCTTAAAAAATATATAATCTATTTTGTTATATGAAATCATAACATACCTGTCTGAGATATTTCCCAACCACAGTCACTACTGTAGAACTCTACTTATTCATAAGAATAATACACAAAATGCATTCAAAAACAAGGCAGGTTTGAGCAGAGCTTGTTTGTCATATCTAATGAAAGGACCTTTACCTTAAGCATTAACTTGTCTATTTCCAATTGCTGATGGACTTGCATGTTTCCAGCTGTTTGTATTTTTAATTAATATTTTGATCATTCCGTTTTTTTTTTGTCTTTATGCAGATATATAACCTGGTACTTCATTTAAATCCTAGCAGTTATCTTGGTGGCTAGTTGTTCAGAATATGTCTGAATCAGTTAAACTGTACAAGGCATTTTTATTTTTAATTTTTATCTTTTAACTTAAAATTCATTGATATTCTATGACCATTAATATAGAGCTGTCACAACCAACATTTTCATTTGGAATAATTGTTATGTGAATGGCTGAAGGTGTACTTTACTGGTGCAAAAATACACTTGTAAATTCTACCACAAAAACCGAGAGGAGCAAGTGTGGAACAGAACAGAAACTGCTCCAGGCTCTGCCAGGGTGCTTTGTTGAGAAAAGCTGTGTCTCTTGCTGCATTCCTAACAAGAATAGTGTGGCTACTTCACTTTTATCATAGAATCCCTACAGTGTGGAAACAGGCCATTTGGCCCAACAAGTCCACACCGTCTCTCCGAAGAGAATTCCACCCATACCTATTTCCTTACCCCTGATTTCCCATGTCTAACTCACCTAACCTAAAGATCCCTGGGTACTATGGACAATTTAGCATGGCCAATCCACCTAGCCTGCACATCTTTGGACTGTGGGAGGAAACCGGAACACCCGGAGGAAACCACGCAGACACGGAGAGAATGTGCAAACTCCACACAGACAGTCGCCCGAGGCTGGAATCGAACCCGGGTCCCTAGCTCTGTGAGGCAGGAGGCAGCAGTGCTAACCACTGAGCCACCGTGCCGCCAAAAAACATTTACTTTGGTTGCGTTTTTACTAAAACAGGCAGTCAGTATGTTTTGTGATGTCTTATGTAATAGTGTTGATAGGGACTGAACAAAATTAATAGTGTGTGTGAGAGAAAGAGAGATGCAGACAAAAATGGAGAGCCATTTCAATTTGGGGCTTGCGGTAATTATTTAATTATAAGCAGTTGTTATGTCTGTTTGAATTAAATTGATCAGAGGTGCGAAGTGCTGACAATGATCTTTGTTTATGTTGTCCCATGGAGGGCTAAAATGGCAAATATTCTTAAGAATTTGATTTTAAACATTATGTTAGAGTTAGACCAAACAATGTTTATGTCAGCTGCCTTGGGGATTGTTAGCTCAGTTGGCTGGATGACTGGTTTGCAAAGTAGAGTAACTTCCAGCAACGTGGGTTCACTTTCTGCACTGGCTGAGGTTACCATGAAGATCCCATCTTCTCAACCTCGCCTCTTGCCTGTGGTATGTTGACCCTCAGGCTAAACCATCACTAGTTGTCTCTTCTAATGAGAGACCAGCCCTGTGATTTGGTAGAATTATTGAAACCTTACCTTTTGGTTGTTGGGAATGTCACTTCTCTGGTTTTCTGTTAATTTCAGAAGCAGTTTCACTATCTGAGAGTTTTTTCCTGTGGCTGGTGGGGTAAGAAGGAAAGAGTGGAAGAGCAGTAACCAGCAGCTTATATCCTAGCATTGCAGTTTTGTGTATCAAGCTGTTGTTTGCTTCAGAATGTAGGCGGTATGCACTGCCATTGACTACCCAACTTTATCTTCTAGGTAAATGTTCAGAAGTAAGCTTTCACAAAGGTGAGCTGATATTTTTATGATCCCTGGATTTTGCTCCTACAATCCAAACTGACTCTGCTCAGCATGGTGGTATTCCACTATTAATGTACCCTATAGATAGGCAACAATGGTATTTGTTAGACTTTTTAATCATAACTGTCTAATGCCTTGCAGACCTTAAACAGAAGTCAATACAGGTGCTTTTAAAGATTTAATTTGTACAGTGTTAATTGTTTATGATTGGTACTCTACTGTCATTTCAAGTTTCATAATACTCTACTATCAAGTGCTTCTTGAAGGTGAAATGGCATAAATTGCAACTTGTTTCAAATCAAACACCACATTGTGCTAAATGTAAATTGTGCTCAAAACTGGTAGTGTGGTTTTGGTGGCAGGAATATGCTACTTTTGTTTCCAGGGTGGAGGGGGCTCACTTAAGTCAGCTGACTTGATGGCCGGCTTGCAATGTAGGCCAATGCCAACAGTTTGGATACAGTTCCTGCACTGGCTGATATTACCATGAAGAGCTCCTTTTTTCAACTTCTTCCCCCATCTGAGATGTGGTGACCCTCAGGTTAAACCACCACCAGTCGCTTCTCTACTGAGCAAGCAGTCCTATGGTCTTGTATAACAATGGCGATTTTTTTACTACCAGTTTACTGCAATATAAATTAGGCAATCTCTTTTCTAATGACATTAATCTGTTATTGAGTGATGAAAGTAGAATTGTGAAAATCAAACCTACTTCTGTTGTCTCTCCAACGTGCCATATGATGGTCTGCAACATATGAATTTTGTCATTGAATTAGCTTACATTCAGAAGTATTGTAGACAACTGATAACTGCTTGGTTGTTATACAAAGTTGCTGAAGATATTCCTAGAATTTTTCTTACTCAGACACAGGCTTTGAACTGCTTCCCTTTGGAATTGATGCTGTTCATTGAATAACATGAGCATGTGGGAGCTGAATTGACTTATTTCACCTTTATTGGAAGTTAGATTGCATCAGTTCTGAACGGCACATTTCATTAAAGAAGGTATTAGAGTGAGTACAGAAAAGATTCATGAACGGTTCCAAAGATGAGGACCTTCAGTTGCATAGATTGGAAAAGTTGGGACTGTTTTCACAGAAGGTTAGCAGGATATTTGATAGAAGTACTCAAAATCATGAGAGGTCTAGACATTGTAAATAGGAAGAAAATGTTTGCACTGATGGTAGGATCAAAGCAAAGAGAGCATTGATTTAAGGTAAAAGGAAAGAATGCAGATGAGCCACATTTTCACATAACAAATTGTTAAAGATCTGGAATGGAATGCCTGAAAATGTTGTTGAGATAAATTCATTCAAGGCATTCAAATGAGAATTAGATTATTATCTGTGAAGGAAAAATGTGCAGGGTTATGGTAGAGATGGGGGAAATGGCACTGGGTGTATTTCTCATTTGGAGAGCTGGTGCAGAGATGGTGGACCAAATGGTGGTCTCCACTGATCTAAAATTCTAGAGATTCATAAGTGAAAATGAGAGACTGACATCTAAGGCAGCAGGTCTCAACTTTAGCATCATGTTTGATGAATCTCATGAAAATGTTGAACAATATTAGCTAAATCTATTTGCTCAAATCAAATGTTTTCCATAAAACTCAGTGCTGCACTTGATCCACGTTGTTGGTGCGTTGTGTGGATACTTGCACTGAATAATAGAACATATCCAATCTGCATGCCCATTGGTAGCTTTTCTTATCCACATGAGACTTGATCAGATGATACAAGTTGATTTTGTTTTTAAATCTTCCAGTTTTAGTCCAGTACCCTTTGAATAATACCAACTGTCAGGCTGTGACGATTGATGTGAAAAGCTGAAGCATTTTTCCTTATTCTTGCTCTTCTCATGAGAAATTGTTCGACATGAATTGATCATAATGGGAATGAGTTTGCTCAAATGGCAATACTACCCAACTTATGTGGCTTCAAGAATCATTGTTCTGTCTGGAAAATGTCTTCCTTTCTGTTATTTATATTTCATCAGCAGTTGTGTGGGATGCTGGAACTTTAGTGGAAAAACACTTTATAAACCACAAGTAGTGAGTATTTTTTCCCTTGTGTACTAATATAAAATTGCTATGGAAAGTTTTGTATTTGCATCCTGGCTTTGTTTTGATCAGTGTTAGACCCTTTCAGTTGGTGATAGATTAAAATTTTGAAAAGATCAGAATGAGGGCCATTCAGAATTTTTCAGTTGTTACACTATTTGAAAATCATATGGTTGTGGTTGACTGCCTTTGTTTTAATGACTGGCACAGATCTCATTGGTGATATCGTTATTTGAAAGAATCGTGGAGTCTAACAAGTGTGATGGTATTAAATTAATTGGTAGCTAACCTTGGAGCACTTTGCTCTTGTGGTTTGTAGCTCATTAATGGCACAAAACTCTCATTATACACTTTTTAAAAAAAAATTTGAAATCAGAACGTATTAATCAGAACTTGTGCCCAAAAATGTGCATTAACTCACGGAAAGTTGAAAAGTGTTACCCTACTGTTAAACTTCATTGCTTTTTGAAAATTTTGATGTTAAATTGGCTGGGAGCTCTATGGATACTCTGGAGGTTAGATAAGAACTGAAATTAATTTTATTTTAACAGGCAAATTCTGTATCTTATATGTATTTATTGATGTAGAATATGGTTAAGTGGCTGATAACTGCTGAAGCCAGTGATGATTTAATTTATTATTCTACACCTCATCGATTTAATGAATGAATCCTAACAAATGTTGAAGAAGTTAGCTACAAACATCTCTACAGAAGGACAAAAGAGACCATATTAATTTTGAGTCTTTTCCCCTCTTCCTGATACATATAGGCAGTGTGGTTTCCTGGGCAACCAATGACAGTTCTAAGTCTGCTGCGGTAATGCAGAAGGAACTTTGGTGTTGTACCTAGACTTTTGCTTTTCTTCCTTCCCCTTTCTCCTACTGTCTCCCACTCCCTCAGAGAAGGGAGTATTCTAGGGTAGG